ATCGTTGTCTCTAATATTTGAGGTAAGCTCTAAGACCTCGCATGATCGGGGCTAACTTGTAAAACCTAGCATCTTTGAAGGTGAGACCTATCTCGTAGGTTTCTTATTATCATAGGCAACAGTTTGGAGTCATCATTCCTTGAATAAATAAAGATGTGACATCTCGAAGCATATGCCCTTGAAAAAAAAAGCATCATTTTGGCCCCAGTAGACGTGTTTGCCCTTACAAAAGGACCATTTCTTGGCCTCATATGAGAGATGTTTATTCCTTGCCTCGAGATGTGAATTTTTTTAGTTTCGTGAGATGTTTATTCCTATCTTCCACTATCGTCGGGTCTAACTATAAGACCTCGTTTATTTGAGGCCACATATAAATTTCCAATAGTTCAAGAGCTACTCACAAGATGTTTATTCCACGCCTCATAAATGTTTATTCCTGACTTTGTGAGATGCTTATTCCTCGCCTCTCACTACTATTTAAGTCTCAAATAATTCGACAGCGAGATGTTTATTTCCCGTATTGTCGATGTTCATTTCCCTCCTTACCAGATGCTCATTCCTAGATTCGCAAGATGGTTATTCCTCGCCTCTTAGTTCTGTTGAGATTAGCTGTAAGGCCTTGTCTATTCGATGATGCTTATAAGTCTCTGATAGTTCGAGAGTTATTCGCGAGATGTTTATTCCTCACCTCTCAAATGCTTATTCTTGGCTTCACGATATACTTATTTCTCGCCTCTCACTATCATCGAGCCTAGTTATAAGACCTCGTCTATCCAAGTCAGCTTATAAGTCTCTGATAGCTTGAGATTTATTCAAGAAATGTATATTCTTCGCCTTGCGAAATGTTTATTCCACGTCTCTACTCTTCAGATGTTCATTTCTAACTTCACGAGATGTTTATTCCTTGTCTTGATGTATATTTATTCCTCGCCTCGCAGATGCTTATGCCCGACTTCGCGAGATGCTTATATATCGCCTCTCATTACCGTGGAGCCTAGCTTTAAGACTTCATCTTTTCAAGGCTAGCTTATAAATCTCTGGTAGTTCGAGACAATCTACCAGCTCGATGTTTATTCTTCGATCTTCGAGATGCCTCTCCATATAGGACTACGGCAAATAGTTCATCATGCCTCTGCAATGGCTATATCATAACTACATTTATCTTCAAAGAGCTCATAACGCTTCTGTTTCAACTACATTACACCTGCCTTTCTTTCTGAGCATTGCTTCTGCTTCAGCTATAACACAACTTCACCTATCTTCAGAGAGCTTACATTATCCCCTGTATGGATAAACCATCTACTTGTAGGAAGCCCTTGGTATAGGTGAACCATTCACCTGCAAGGAAGTCATTTACGAAGATGATGCATTACACAACTGCACCATCTACGTGGTAGAAGCCCTTGCCAATGATGTATACCCTCATGCAAGAATGTCCACTTTGAAAGGAAGGGTGAGAGGTACCTCAACCAAGATGTCTTACTTTGAATACCTACGAAGATGAAGCCTTCTACGGTTGCACGATCTACCTGGAAGAAGCACTTGATATGGACGTGTCACCCCTATGTAAGGATATTAGCTTCATCACAACTGTTTATATATTTAGAATTCTCCTCTGCATCAGCATCAGTACAATTATTTATATATTCAAAGTTTGCATTTGCATCAGCTTCTTCTCAACTACTTATCTTCATAGCATCGCTCTTATCCAAAAGTCCACGCATTACACGAATATTCATACCTAGACTTAGGTGACTATTTATACTAGTATCTTAGTATTATTACATTATTATTGCTAGCATATGCAATATATTATTGCTGCCAAATACGCATGCTATATCATTGCTAACATGTCTTGACACTATTTTCATTACAACCAATATGTATGCCACGTTATTTACATTATCGTTTTATTATCGACAACATGTGATCTACATATTTTCTAAGGCAGTTTGTAAATCCTTCTTATTGGAGCAATTTATATTCTCAAGGCAATTCGTAAGTCTTCACCTATTTGGGATCGATGCATATTTTCGAGCCAGTTTGTAAGTCCTCACTTATTAGAGCTATTCATATTTTTGAGGAAATCTATAAGATCTCGCATTCTTGATGGCTTATATTTTGAAATTCAACCCACACATGAATGTACAACTCAACATCTGTAAGATTTCGACTACTTGATAATTTTTATTTCAAGTCCGTCTCACACATGAATGTACAACTCAGACTTGGGGGACTATTGTTATACCTATAAATTACGTGACATGCTCAGAGGGGGGGGGGTCCCATATATATTGACGTGGCATCGACTATTCAATTGATTGGGCCTATTTGATTAGAAAATTGTAGATTGGGCTTAAACTTGAGCCCATCTCATTAAACCTACCGGCTCATTTACATTTCTCATTAAACCTACCGGCTCATTTACATTTCTCTATATATACGTGGGTTCATTTCACACAAAAGGTGTATTATTTTAAATCCTAGCCAAAACTCTTTATCCTGTCTTTCGCACTCTTATTTCTCTCGTATGACAGTTGACTTGACTCTCAGAGTGCAAACGGTCATCAGACTCTTTTCTCGACGACGACCTTTGCTTCCTAACGGATTGTTCGAGCGTGTAGATGACGTTTACGTGGAGGGAAGGTTGTCGAGATTCTGTTGACGTATTTTTTGAGGTCAACAGTTGTAGATGAAACTAATGGTTCTATTTAAAAAATACTCATTGGTTCTTGATTTGATTTTGGTATCCCTATTTGAATTCAATATATTTTCAAGCATCGTCTCTCTACAAATTTAAGTTTTTTTAAAATCATTATCTCTGAATCTTGATATCTTTCATTTTTTTCCATTCTCAATTTTGTATTATTTGGATCCATGACTATGTTGCATTTTGACCATACTTCCGTTTGGAAACCTGGAGCCAAATGAAAGCCATACATTTTGTTTGACAAATTATTTTTCGGTGGACATTTTAGCTATGTTCAACATTGTTTGGCTAAAAATAAATACGATCAAATAGAATTGAAAAGAAAGATGATCTCACAATGAATTCTACTAGCATATATCGCAAATTAGACAAGACCTGCGTCATACTATATTTGTTGTTCTACCCCTATTTGGTTTGGTTAAAAATCAAATTTTCATTAAATTTTGATAAATGTTGATGAAATGTATGATTACAAAGTCGATAAAAATCTTGGGTTTCATAAAAAGTATAGTTGAAAACAGATTTGGAAAAATAAGTTTTATAAAATTGAAGCCAAACATGGGCTAAATAAGATGTAATAACTCAACTTTGTTATAGGTACAAATTTCATCTTATAGTGTTGTAGGTTCATGAGGCAGAAAAGAAAATGAATTAATGTCATAATGATAACGAAAAAAAAAAAATAGTGACTCTTGCTTATGACATGGAGATGGTATTTTTCTAAAGTGGGAGTTCCTCGTTAAACAAGTCAAATGAAGTTATAACAAATTGTCGGAAAATCATAAGAAACTAGATTAATGTTAGTTGATCAATCACCTAGTAACATTTGACACGACTTACACTAATAAATTAGTCAATTGGATCTATTACCACTAACATAATTATTCTACAAATAATCCTAAGTTTGAACATATGAATTAATGCCAGAACAATATTCATGATGACCACCCCCCATCTCACAATTTGCTCCATGCCTTTTACAGGCCTGGCAGAGCAACATGGTCCATAACATTATTGATTGATAAATTAATCCTTTGTGCAACAAACGTGTATGCACGTGAAATAAAATTAATACCCGTTATTTTGGTGTTGATTCGAAAAAAATAAAATGACAAAGTGTTCTATCAAAACTTAATCAAGTCGAAAGTGAATTTTTATGTATAGAAATGAAAATCAAATATTAAGGTTCGATAATCCTAGCTTTATTGTTTTGCAAAAAATGTTCTTTTTATTGTGAACAATATACAACCAGAAAGCTCCATCTACCATCTAATTCATTCATAATTTCTTAATTTACGATTTTTCCTTGATTCTTGACTTTCATAACATCAAAGGAGATTGTCGGGGTGTAAATTTACTAAACTTATATTTTGCTAAATAGTACGTTGCCCAAAAACCTATATCTTGAGTTCGAATAATCTCATTTACATATACGTCAAATAGATAGGACGGTGCACAAAATTTGAGTCTCCTTGACAACCATTAATTTATTTCATGGTTTGTTACAGGACAATTTTCAACCACATATTCACACAATAAAATATTCTATACGTATACCAAAAACTTTCATATACTTCTTAATCGCACGTTCTCCTAAAAATCACTATTCAAAACTCATTTTTTCTACAATAATAATTGTCAAATAGGCTCTTAGTCAAAAAAATTCTCTTCTTACGCGTGTTGTGCCATACCTATACGTCGACTGGCTTATATTTAGACTTAGTTGTTATTACAGCCCAAAACAATTTATAATACTTTATGTTTTATAAATTCTTAACCGTTTTGAATACGTATTTGTCTTCTCTTGCAAATGGCATCAGAAACTTCGTAGTTGATTTCAAAGCTGGACTTGTACAATAGGAAATGAATCGCCGGTCTTCTTTTCTTTGCTTATTTTAATCCAACAGCTAACATCCCTTTGGACAAGTTCTATTATTTTGGTTTGGTCATCCCTATTACGCGTTCTTATCACACCTATATATACGCTACTGGGTCAAGCCATTTTGTGTTCAAAAAAGTACTAGTCTTTTCTTCTATTCTTCAACTCTCTCTCTCTCTCGTTTCTTGGACCAGCACGGAGCATATTTGGCTTCACACACAGTTACTAAGGCTCGTTTCTAATAAATTAGGGGTCGACCTGACACCTTTTCTTGTTATTAATAACCTATTTTCTTTGTTTTCTTGGCATTTTGATCTCTACGCATTTCACCATTCCACCACCGGAAATTGATTGTGTTCCTACTGCACACCAGCTTGTTCAGGTTTGAGCTTAGTTTTCGCAAATCGTTTAATGGACATATACAAGCAATATGAACGTGTATTCAACCACTTGGATGAAAATGGAGATGGAAAAATATCGCCTTGTGAGCTTCAAAAGTGCGCTGACTTAATAGGTGGGGCAATGTCCCCAGAAGAGGCGGAGATGGCCGTCGTGTTGATGGACTCGGATGGAGATGGATTGTTGTGTTTGGAGGATTTCTTGAAGCTAGTCGAAGGAGCAGAAGAAGAAGAAAAGGCAAAAGATTTGAAGGAGGCCTTTAGGATGTACGAAATGGAGGGGAGTGGATGCATAACACCGAAGAGTTTAAAGAGAATGCTTAGCAGATTGGGAGAGTCCAAAACCATTGATGAATGCAAATTGATGATAGATCACTTTGATATCAATGGGGATGGACAACTCAATTTCGATGAGTTTAAGGTTATGATGTCTTGTTGACCTTTGTAAATAATTGTCATCCATTGGATTCATAGGTTTATAAATTAGGCATTCTTTCTGCAGGCTACCTGCACATTATGTTATTCATTTGATATTGTATCATTGACTTGTTAGAACTTTATTAAAACTTAAACTTTATGATCTTGCCAAGATCTTCATGTCAAACCATCAAGAAACTGAATTGCCGCGGAACATACCTTAATCAATTGATTTCTGACTTGATTAAAGATGAGTTTAAGGTTATGATGTCTTGTTGACCTTTGTAAATAATTGTCATCCATTGGATTCATAGGTTTATAAATTAGGCATTCTTTCTGCAGGCTACCTGCACATTATGTTATTCATTTGATATTGTATCATTGATTTTGTTTTCTTGGCTTTTGGTGTTTTCCACTATGTTCCTACCCTACTCTAGCTTAGTAGACTGCACCATTTGTTGAGCGCAAAGTCTAGTTTATGCGAATCGTTTAATGGGAAAAAAAAATCGAGAAATATGAACGTGTATTCAGCCATTCCGACCAAGGAGATGGAAAATATGGCCTTGCGAGTTTCCAGTGTGCTGGCTTAGTAGGTGGGGTGACGTCCCTAGAAGAGGTAGCAGCGACTGCACGTTGATGGACATGGTACTGTTGTGTGTTGTGTATAAGTGAACAGTAAAATAGAAAAGAAGAACAATACGATCGATACATTGAAATTTAAGTAATTCGACAATTTGCCTAAATCTACTATATGGCACAAAATATTTCACTAAAGTCCTAGTTGATTGTACAAATTTTTCCATGGAAAACAAATTCCATCTTTTACTTTAGCATTGTTTGATGGCAATTTTTTTCCTTGGAATTGATTTTCTTGGTTGGCCTCACACGATGACAATTTCCATGGTTTTGATGAAGATGAATTCCCACCATTTTGGTGGGAAATGGCTTTCCAAGTTACCTTTTTATTTATTTATTTTGTTGCTATTGGAAACAATTCTAGACACAATGGTAAAAAAAAGATTATCACTTTTATTGACAATTTTCATGTAAAACAAAGCCAAACGAATGGTATTCGGTATGTTAATTTTTTTTTAAAATTTTTTTATTTTTGCCAATTGGAACAAATTTTAGACCCAATGGTAAAAAAAGTTATCACTTTAATGGACAATTTTCATGAAAAACGAAGACAAACGGATACCAAACTTTCAACATTTTCCCAGTGAAAAATTATACCAATCAAACACAATTAATTACAATTCCCCGTAAAAACAAATTTTAGACAGTTCAATTCCATGTAATTCATTTTCTTTCCACCCAAATTCCACATTTACAATTAAACGGACCCTTATTTCAAATAGGATTACAATATATTACTAGATAATTATATTACCATAACAAATTTTACTTACTACATCACATTATAATCATACCATAATCTGACGCAGCGCGAAAAAAGGAATTCAACTGAAAAACTTTAAGAACAAGAAATTTGGAATCCACCAAATTGTGAAAAATATAAACTCGTGAATTTTATTAATTGAAAGGTGATAAAAAAAAAAAAAAACAATGAATTAACTCTTTATTTATAAGGTTTATATGAAAATCTAGTTAAAACAAACTAAAATTGCAAAGAATTCGAAATATACTAAATAATAAAAATAGCATTAAAAATTAAAAAGTAGTTTTTGAGTCCTAAACGAACTTGGGTGATCAAAATCCTTCGTATGTCACGAAACTGTGAGTTCTACTCGTCTCATCGTTCTCTTTTCGAAACAGTATTATGGACTTAAATCGTTCGACTGCCACATCTGCACTCTTCATTTCATTCTTTTCGATCTAATTCTTCTTCAATTCATTCAACCATTTGTTCCGCATCACATGCAATCAAAACATATTATCAATAAATACACTATAACAAATTTACAATTATAATCCTAATTTAATAAAAATTAAAAGGGCGATATATATTGTCGCCACACATATTATTTTTTACACTACTTTCATGCACACCCTAATTAAAATATACTTTTCATAAACCCGCAAAGAGAATTTTATAACTATAACCCTAACTCAATTAAAAATAAAATAAAAAATGGTGTACATTTCCCTTCTCTCCAATCTACACCAAGGCTCCACCAATTTTGATTATCCGAAGAATAGGTGCCTCACCCGCATGGGTGATGCTACATGTACACCTCATGCATTATACAATCCTTTACACCCCCTCACATGGAGGAGGGGCTCACGATTATTTTATTATGTGTGGACCCCCCTCCATGTGAGGAGGGTGTAAATGATTGTGTAAAGAATTATGTACACATATCTTTATTCCACCCACATAACCCCAACCCCACTTGCTCAAATTAAAAAAACAGCACAACGCACATTCAACAATTGGAGTAATGAGGCCCCCAGGGCATATCTCCCAGTGACAAAGGGGAGGACGGTTAGGGCTCAGCGCGGTAGTGTGCAGAGTTCGATTCCCCGCAAGGTGGAATTGGCTTTGTTGCAAGCGGGAGTTACCATAGGGTTAATAGCCCAGGCCTATCCATAAACTCTCCACCCAGGCTCCTGGGAGGCACATCCTGCGATTTACCTCCTCCACAATGGCCCATGGCAGGGTCGGTGGGGGCCCTCAAGGTTGGGGTTCAACCTTTTTTTTAACAATTGGAGTAATGATGAAAAGAGGTGACGACAACACAGGGCAATACTTTTCTTGGCCGGCATTTGTATTCTGTTTGTCATGGTATTTCGTGTGGTTATTAATTTTGAATAATACTTCTCCTTATCAAGAATTTATACATACTATGATAGGGGTTAAATACGTGGTAATATAACCACCAAAATTATATTAATCTTTGGATCTTCTATTTTAAGAATCATTGCATTTGTATATTTAAATATGAGTTATATATCTTTTGTGGTGTACAGATGATAGCAATGAAATTATATATGAGTGAAAACATATATGATATTTATGTTATTTTATTCATGGTTATTTAAAAAAATAAGAAAAATGTGGTGTACCAAACATTTATTGTGGCGATAATATAACCACCCTAGGTTATTTATATAGAACTCGAATCCCGAAATTACCCTTAAAATACAGTACTGTACCACGCCAACTTACATGTATCTATCCTAATGGGTTAGTTGATAAGAGCTGAGGGAAAGAAGATTAAAAACACTTTGAAAAGAGCTTGGATAAATAATGTATCAATTTTAAGTGATCCAAAATAGTTTTTTTTTTTTATTAAGAAAATGTTTTTTTATATAAAATATGAACTACCTAATCAACCACTTTAGCGAATATGATCCCAAAAAAATTAGTAATCATATAAAAACTCACTCTTGTCACTAAATAAGTTGGGTATGCCTCCTCTCTCCGGCATCTAGAGACACTGATCAATGGCCTTTGTAACATGTGTGTTACATTTTCAGAAGTGTGTACCTTCTAAATATCCAAATCACATGAAGCAATGATTAGTGTGTTTTGCACACGGATTTTATACCAATAAAGCTTCATTTGTATGCTTAATCTGTTGATTATAGAATGAATTTAATGTGTTTGCTAGTGTTTTGGTTGAAGGAATGTTAAAATAACGAAAAATGGTTTTTGGAGCAAAATAGAGGAAGAATGGAGCAGAAATATGGTGCTTAAGCGCCCGGAGATAGCGCTCAAGCGCCGGAGAACAAAGTAGAAATTTCAACAGGAAGATGGCGCTCAAGCGCCACAAAAAAACCTTGAAGTGAAAAAATGGGCAGAGATTGGGCGCTCAAGCGCCACTTACATGGCGCTCAAGCGCTACCTTCACAGATGACGCGGCGCTCAAGCGCCGCAGTCGGGCGCTCAAGCGCTGTGCCGCGAGAAAAATTAGGTTGATTTTGGGCTACGAAAAAGCCCACAAAAAGGACTCCAACTTGGCTAAGGATGTAGAGGAAGTATAAAGAGGCTAAGAGAGGCACGAAATAGGGTTCCACACTTTGCAATAATTGAGAGAAAAACACCAAATTAAAGAGAGATTCACAAGAGGAATTACATCAAGGATTCGGGTTCAAATCGAAGATTGGAAGCGGACGAAGATCTTGGTGCAAGGGCTTAATCTTTCCATCTTTTGTATCAATTAAATCCGGTGATGTACTCAGATTGTGTTATTTATTTCATTATTTTACGCATGAGTAGCTAAATTCATTATTAGGGCGAACAATGTAATCTTTTGAAACCCTTAGTTATTTTAATTCATGAATTCTGAGTTTTTCATTATTCAATGTGTTGATTTTATTATGTGTGTAATGCTTCAAATTACTTGGCCATTAATTTGATGATTTATTGAGTTTCTTACGAGTCGAGAGGTGAGTTCGAAACTTAGAACGTGTAATAAAATCCGGTAACGAGGTATAACGTGTAGAGATACCTATACTAAGTGTCGCGGTCGTTATATGAATTCCTAGTGCTTTAACTCGTTTAACTAAGGAGAATTTGCATAGAGATATGGAATTGATTTAGTTAAATAGGCTCAATGAGAACTCGAGAGGGGTAAATTGAATACCGTAGGAGAATTCGACCGAACACTACATTAGGCTAGAATCTTGAATTGGTAACTAAGGTGATCGTTAGGTGAAATTGTTTTGCCCTAATACTTCTCACATATTTGAATCTTCGATCTGTTTATCTCCAATATTCGTTCATAAGTTTTCATTCATTTTAGGAATTTAGTTATTCTAGACATCCACATTCATCACAATCTGAATTTTGAGTTCGTTTATTTTCATCAAATAGTAGTAGGAGAAATATATTAAGCACTAAAGTTTAGTTCTCGTGGGAACGATAATCCGGACTCTTAGGTCCACTATATTACTTGTTCGATATCGTACACTTGCGATATAAAAATACGCAACAAGCAACCAACTCTCTAATTTTAGATTATGAATTACGAACTTTCAGCTTTTAATTCCAAGAGCTTGATGCTACAAACCTCCAACTTTTCTATGATATTCCTTAAAATCAAGACTACGCTGATG